TATAGTGAGCTAATTTCCTCTTTTCCTCCATTTCTTAGCCTTCCTTTTCAAACCCAATAATCTCTCTTTTAGCATTTGGGAAAGTGTCCTAAGTGGATACAATTTGGAAAATGATAGGAGTTTTTCTAAAGTAAGGTTGTAACTCAGTGTCATGATCAAGATGGGTTTGTGTTCCTCCCTGTTGCTCACATAGCTTCTGCCTCTGCATTACTTGGAACATTCCCTTTTCCACACTTTCATGCAACTGCATCACATTTAATGCTTCCACTAGCAGTTTGCTTTCCCTTCTACTGGTGTATAATTTCATCCAAAGAAATAGTATGTTTTTCTGAAATATCTCACACATCAAGATATTTTTTAATGATACTAGCAACTTCCTGAGACACATTTTCTCTTTTCCACTTTTCTATTCTTATTCTTTTCTGCAATTGCTAGTATCTGTTTTAATGTGTTGTTTCTTTTCCTCAGTGTTACCCTTTCTTTACTTTAGCTGTTCTTTACTTTTTCTTTAAACATTTATGTTTTCAAATTAACTTTGATCTCTTTGTGTAGATTGGCCTGGATAATACTGCTTTTTATCTCTGTTGTATGTCTGCACCTTTTTCTCCATTAATCTTCCAAACCTATAAATTATTGCGGAACATATTTCTATTTTCACCTCACTGTTTCCGCTACAGAGAATTCACACTGACTTTCAACTTACTATTTTAAATTGTCCAAGACTTTTATCATTCTCAGCTTCTTGAGAAAGGCTGTTAATGTTTTAGGGCTACATTTTGAACTCACAGAAACACCTGTAACTCCAAGTATTTTCAGTGGGAATCTGTAGGCATCTTTCACAGATGAGTTTGATCTTCATAGAATCATAGAATCATAGAATCGATTGGGTTGGAAAAGACCTCCGAGATCATCGAGTCCAACCCTTGGTCCAAATCCAGTCCATTTACTAGATCATGGCACTCAGTGCCACGTCCAATCTGCGTTTAAAAATCTCCAGGGATGGTGAATCCACCACCTCTCTGGGCAGCCCATTCCAATGCCTGATTACTCTCTCTGTAAAGAATTTTCTCCTGATATCCAACTTAAATTTCCCCTGGCGGAGCTTAAGCCCGTGCCCCCTTGTCCTATTGCTGAGTGCCTGAGAGAAGAGACCAACCCCCACCTGGCTAGAACTTCCCTTCAGGTAGTTATAGACGGTGATGAGGTCACCTCTGAGCCTCCTCTTCTCCAGGCTAAACAACCCCAGCTCCCTCAGCCTCTCCCCATAGGACTTATGCTCCAGTCCCTTCACCAGCCTTGTTGCTCTTCTCTGGACCCGCTCCAGCACCTCAATATCCTTTCTGAACTGAGGGGCCCAGAACTGAACACAATACTCAAGGTGTGGCCTCACCAACGCAGAGTACAGGGGAAGGATCACTTCCCTGCTCCTGCTGGCCACGCTATTTTTGATACAGGACAAGATCCCATTGGCCTTCTTGGCCACCTGGGCACACTGTTGGCTCATGTTGAGCTTCCTGTCAATTAGTACCCCCAGGTCCCTTTCTGCCTGGCTGCTTTCCAGCCACTCTGTGCCCAGCCTGTAGCGCTGCAGGGGGTTGTTGTGGCCAAAGTGCAGGACCCGGCACTTGGCTTTATTGAACTTCATCCCATTGGAATCAGCCCATCTCTCAAGTCTATCCAGATCCCTCTGCAGAGCCCTCCTGCCTTCCAGCAGGTCGACACTCCCTCCCAGTTTGGTGTCATCAGCAAATTTGCTGATGATGGACTCAATCCCCTCATCTAAATCATCAATAAAGATATTAAACAGGACTGGACCCAACACAGACCCCTGGGGAACACCACTGGTGACCGGCTGCCAGCTGGATGCAGCTCCATTCACCAGCACTCTCTGGGCCCGACCCTCCAGCCAGCTCCTAATCCAGGAGAGGGTACACTTGTCCAAGCCATGGGCTACCAGCTTTTCCAGGAGTATATTATGGGAGACAGTGTCAAAGGCCTTGCTGAAGTCTAGATAGACCACATCCACAGCCTTCCCCTCATCCACCAGGTGGGTCACCTGATCGTAAAAAGAGATCAGGTTGGTCAGACAGGACCTGCCCCTCCTAAACCCGTGCTGGCTGGGTCTAATCCCTTGTCCATCCTGAAGGTGCTGTGTGATTGCACTCAGGATGATCTGCTCCATAACCCTGCCAGGCACCGAGGTCAGGCTGACAGGCCTGTAGTTGCCAGGGTCCTGCTTGCAGCCTTTTTTGTGGATTGGGGTGACATTCGCCAACCTCCAATCATCTGGGACCTTCCCAGAGAGCCAGGACTGCTGGAAGATGATGGAGAGCGGTTTGGCAAGCTCTTCTGCCAGCTCCCTCATCACCCTGGGATGGATCCCGTCTGGTCCCATAGACTTGTTAGGATCCAGCTGGCTCAGTAAGTTGCTAACTACATCCTCCTGGAATACAGGAGGGCTATTCAGCTCTCTGTCTCTGTCTATCTGCTCTAGAGGCCAGTTGTTCTGAGGGCCACCTGTCTTACTGCTAAAAACTGAGGCAAAGTAGGTGTTAAGTACCTCAGCCTTCTCCTTATCTTTGTTAACTATATTTCCCTCCAAGTCCAACAGAGAATTGAGATCTTAGTCCACAAACTAAGTCAAAATATGTTCCAGTGCACGGAATATGTTCTCTCCTCTGTCATATCTATCTCTCTATATATACTCAATATATAGAAAGTATATATAGAGTATATATATCTCTATATATAGAGTATATATAATGCCTCTATATATATATACTCAATTATGTCGTGTCTCAGTTTTGGTACATGGGGAACCACATCTTCTTGCAAGCTAGGCCTATGAAACAGTAGAAGAACCATCCCATTAAAACATAAAAATTAAGGCAAAATCTCTTTTATACTGTCTAGGAATACAACTAAAATGTAAATAAAAAAGACATCTATACAGAATAATGTTTCTGTCACTTGGCATTTTAAAGGTGTGGATGAATGTTGGGTTAGTGAGAACATTAAAAAAGTTGAAATCTTCAGCCTGGGCTCCACTGTGAGGCAGAACTGCTCACAACCTTGAGCATTTCTGATACATGAAAACATCCTTCTCGTCCACAAAGCCCTCCAGTGATCTAAGGTGGGAGAAATATCTTTTGGGTATGCATAGAGCATTCTATGTTACAGTGTCAGAGGGCAGCGCCTCCTCCATTTATTGAGCATTGACCTGTGCATGACTTCAAACTCCTGCCAGATAAATTTGATTGCCCTCAACTGCGTGTTACGTTCTTCAGAGAAACAGGATGTCAAGTGGCACTTCCTAGAAGAAGGGGAGATGGTTCTTTTTCTGAGGAGCATTGCATGTGTTCAGATGGAGAACAGGTGGAGAAGTTAGTCATCAGCCCTTCAAGGCAGTGGTAAGAGTCCTCATCAGGACCAGAAGGGACAGAGCAGAGTTTGCTGCAATGTCAAAGGTTTCTGACTTAGCTGAATGTAAGTGTGAATGCAAAGACTTGCATCAGGCAAAGGAGATTGTTTATAAGACATTTGTATTGCTAGTCATTTTGCGACTGTGCTACTTAAAAAGTGACTTAAGCTGGCATTTTTAATACAACTAAGCTTTGGAGACTTAAAGGCTTTTGTTTGGGAACTCACTAGAAGGAAATATCTAAGTGGATACTCTTCAAATTTCTGACCAGTTCAATGCCTCTGTTGGAAAGTCGTTCACTTCATTACTCTGCATGTTTTATTAGTGTCTGACAGCATGTGAAGGAGGACCTCCAGGCTCAGCAAGCTGGAAAAGCCAAGTTAGAGAGAATTTAGGGTCCTAATTCCCTGTGCATCAAGACACAATTAATGTAGCATGCAGGTTTGCAGGTCACTGACTGCATGGGTATAGGCACATGGCCCATATTCATTTTGCCTCACTGACCTGAGGTCTCAGTCTCTCCTGATCTCTGTAAGAAGTGTTTCTGCTATGAGAGGGATGGCCTCTAATGCCTGAGAATAGGGTCTATCTCTATTAATTTCTCCATTTGATGACTTCTCCGGGGAAAAAAGAGATTCACCAAAAACATTCAATTTGGGATCTGCATGGCTCAAGAACTCTCCAGACAGCAACAGAACTATTTTTCACAATTATCCAGTTTCAGACATGGTCTTAGTGTTAAATTATTTTTTCCTTGAAGAGAAAAACATTGCTTTATGCTAATTGTGACCATAAAATAAAAAGGGAAGGCACAACAATGCAAGAATGAATTCACAGGCAAACATACTTTGAAAATAAAAGCGTTAAATTACACTTTATTGCATAAGCTAACTATGTACACTGCAATTTTTATAACAATGATGTATTGAATTAATACAAATTTTCACAGGCTTGAATGAATTCTGTACTGAATCAGGGAGGCGCTTTTTACTATTTTCTAAAAGTAACTGAACTGCTGGTTTCTTCATGAAGAAGGCAATTAATATTCCTCTGATTGTTTCACACAATTAAGGAATATGCCATATATAAATAAATTCTTTTAATTGTCATGAGGATAATTTTACTCTATGTTATCTCTATATTCTGAAACAGCTTGAATACAGATGGTTCTGGATAATAACCACATGTAAAGAAAAACCTCTAAGTTTTTACTAGCAATCATCACTTAATCTCCAAATCCATTTACTTTTGGGGGGTGATACAAATACTGTTTATTAAATGCCGTGGTTCAAGAGTATTTGTCTTCGAAGTGGACTTCAGAGCTCAGGATATCCATTTCTCTCAATGACAGAGTGAACATTCTTAGAACAGACTCAATCTTCATGGTGTCAGATAAAAGTTAGTTAGATTCAATTATGATTTGGGATTAAGGAGAGACTGAAATGAATGTTAACCATGAAGAAATCACTTAAATTGTGATTATGCTTGCTTTGTTGATATCTTTAATAAATCAGATAGGATATTTACATTTTTCTATTCAGAATGGAAACTACTGAATATTTAAGAGATCTGTGTTTGTATTTTCCTAAAAATGCTATAGTAGATAAACAAAGCATAATCACACTTTCCCTGTGCCAAACCTGACCACCTGAAGTGATATTGTACAGGGAAAATAATAGTGTATTGGCTTTACTCCTGGTTCTATAGTAACATTTCCTAAAATTAAAATTGATAGCATTTAAATTTAAGAACAAAAGACAGATTAATCATAGTTTGAATAGAACATGAGCTCCTTTGAAATTCTTAATACAGTTGCTCAGCCTTTGTAAATCAGTCCTTAATTTTTGAAATGTTTATTACTCCCTCCAATGTAGACACAGGCTCAAAAGAGTTGTTTTAATAACAACAGTAGTAATTTCAACACAGTCCTCTTATTTTTCTCGATGCCTTCTTTTGAACTCAAACCAGAAACACAATAGATTTAAGTAATGATTAACTTTTTTTTGCCTTCTTTGGATAACATTTCTATTAATATAGGATGAAATAATCCTCAAAAATAAAATTTTGGTATTTAGTTTATAAGAAAACCATTTGGTTTGCTTCCATGATTTTCTTCATGCAGACTTTGAAATCTTTAAAGGAACAAATATCCATCCATGGTCAGTTGGTAGGGACCACCTTATATTCACATTGTACAGACCATCACACTGGCATAGACCTTCCATGTCCATGATGTGCATAAGGTGGCACATGCAGTTGCATAGAATTTGTTAGCCCAGAACACTTAGCTCCTCATAACAAGAAGGGCCTCCTGACACAAGCCACAGTTTCTCATCTATTTAACACATGGCATCTTCCTGCTCATACAGCCCATGTGAGATGACCACCCTCCCGTGCAGGTCTATGGACAATATTTATCTTATACCTCTGGAGCATATTGCCTGCTGTCATTTTGCAGTATCTGAAAGCCTTGGCACAATGTGGCTCATCCTTCAGAAAAGGGTTCAAATAAATGGGAAAGGCCTTGTCCGCATACAACAAAACTCCAGGGTGTTGACTCTTGCATTGGCAACAACTAGGTATGCCCACACAATGTGAGAAATTAAAAGCTAGTAGCACTTCCAGAAAATGCTTTTCCCACATGAGCAGTTCCCACATGAGGCAATGCACCATGACACACAACTGGGAGGGAAGCATTGGATTCAAGACTGTCAGGAGAGCAGTACAGCATCACCGAGTCTCACTCAGGATTCAGAGGCTGCAGTAAGGATGCATCCCACTCTCAGTCACCAGGGAGGTGACCTGGGACAGAAGGGCTGTCACTGAGCAGAGCATGGCAGTCCTAGCTCTATGTCCCTTGCATGCGGGTGGTGAGGTGTAGTGGAATTGGGATGTGGTGGCTCCAAGCTTGTCTCAACCTCTCCGTTCTGTGCTCCTGCAGTGCTTATCTCCTGTTCATTAAAGGCTGTTCCCTTGGCTCCCTTTCATGGCCTACTGAGGTATTATTGCTGGAGGACTTTCTCAGATAGGAGGACTGAGACAGGATGCACCTTATCGAAGGAGTTACTCTCTGTGTCACAACCACATTTTCCTGCCAGCAGAACTACTTTCATTTTTCAACAAGAAACCGAGTTCAAACTAACAAGTCTGTGGTGTGGACATCCAGGACCAGAGCCCTGCAGAGAAACAGAAAGAAAAACAAGATAACAGTGAGGATGAGCCAGCCTCATTTCAAAATGCTACAGAAAGAGAAAATCAGACAGACTGGCATTTACATGACCTTTAAGCCAAGTATTTGTGTGTGGCGAGATCTGTCTCCTAAGACCAAAAAGGCATTGACTTCTCTGTGCCCTCACTAGCTCTCTGGCTTTTCCTGGAGAAATGACCAGCTATCAATGAGCATATCTGTGCAGTTATATTTTAGATTCGCACCTTAATTTTGTTTACCTTCTATTCTGTTTTTATTCCCCCTGCCTTTTGTCATCCTCACATTTTCAGAATCAAAAATAGGAGACAGAAAACAGAGTTAAACACTTAACTGCACACACAGGATTAGGGCCACAAAACAAAACACAAATTTAAGAGCTGAATAAAATCCCATAAGAGGTCATATGATAATTTTTCTAGTGTGATTGTTCTTATTAAATGGGCAATGATTAATCTGTGTGGATTTTTTATTGGAAGAGTTTTCCCTATAGTTCTCAAGAATTAAATGTCAAAATGGTTGTGCAGGGAAGGAACCCGCCATTAGGTGTTGCCAAATAGGAATGTTTCATTGGCTGCTTCAAAGTCAGTTACTGTCAAATATTTTGAGGAAGTGACCTATGCATGCAAAACAGAAATCAAGAGGTTGAATGGCCCTACAGCCTTTTTTGCACTGAGGATGCTTGTTTAAAGCAAGTTCCGGTCAAGAATAATTGAATTCAGTTCAAATTAGATTGTTGCTCCTCAGCTCTGTGAAATGAGGTAGATGATCACAGTCCACTTCCCATTAGCCTGTCTGCTTCGCTAAAACCACCTGCACAATTGAAACTAATTGGTGCCTCAATAGCAGTATCAACAGAGAGGATGCAATTAAATAGTAATGCATCATGAACTATAACCTCCCCTTAAAGACACGATACCTTTAGACACTTTTAGTGAGCAAGCTTGTCTGGCTGGCACTTGGAGTGGGGCTGAATTTACACCAGTGGGCTGCCAGTCAAGATCCAGTCACAAGAAGAAATTTAAGCCTATGCACAAATGAACATTAATAAGGATACATTTATTCAGCTAGAATATAGGCAGGCCTGGAGCAGTGGAAAGCACACAATACTCTATTTGAGTTGAAGGGATATGAGCCCTAGAGCTACCAAGAGGCCATCAGACACAAATATCATGAGGGACTCCAAAACTCTTTTTCCTCCAGGGACTCATCCAAAGTCAGTGCAGCAACAAAAAGCAAATGACATTGACTCATACAGCAGCATATTTAGAGCAGACTGTACAGTGCTGCTGCTGGTAAGGGCAGCCTCTGACCAACCACTGGGCTGCTTTCACCTGTCAGTGCGAGCCAGACCAGAGAAGTCTGGTGCACTTCTGGCAGAAAGAGTTCCTCTTCTAACTCTATTGTCATTACTGAAAAGAATTTATCCTAAAAACAAATTTCAGAATTCTTGCTGCTGCCCTCTGATTCCCTTTTCTCTCAAGATACCTCCACTATCTCCTAATCTTACCACTGCCAGATCAGCTGGTGGTGTAAGTGCTGTCAGTGTCCAGGATACACAAGCTTTCTGTAACCAAGAATAGCATTTTCCATTTGACTGGCTTCTTCAGGCAATTCTCTCATACAACCCAGCATGAAACTTGTGGTATGTAGAGCTTCGCGAGGTGTCCTTGTTTTAACTGGGAATAAAGTAAATTTTCTACTTAGTAGCTGGTACAGTGCTCTGTTTTGGATTTAGTGCGAGCTTAATGTTGATAATACATCAATATTTTAGTTGTTGCTTAGTAGAGTTTCCTCTAAATCAAGGATTTTGTAGCTTCCCATGTTCTGCCAGTGAGCAGGTCACAAGAAGGTGGGAGGGAGCATAGTCAGGATAGGTGACCTGAACCAGAACATCATGTTCAATATACAAACTAGGGGGAGTTGGCCAGAAGGGGACTGGGACTGGCTGGCCATTGGCCAGAAGGTGGAGAGCAATTGTATTGTTCATCACTTGTTTTTCTGGAGTTTTTTCCCTCTCCATTTCATTACAAGAATTATTATTCTTATTGTTTTAAATGAAATTATTGTTGTTGTTGTTATTATTGCAATTATTATTACATTTTACTATATTTCCATTATTAAAGTGTTCCTATCTCAACTCATGAGTTTTCTCTTTTTCCATCCCTCCAGAGAGGGAGTGAGTGAGCAGCTCTATGGTACTTATATGCTGCCTTGGGTTAAAGCAAGAAAAGAGGGAAGGTGACTGGGGCCTGAGTGAAGTTTGTCCTCTGCTCTCTTTAGTCAAAAATACTCGGCTCTGGCCTGTTGGATTGATCTTGCTCTCTGCTGCACTGCTCCTCAAAAGGCAGTGTGTAAGAAAGGCATGAGAGAGTCATTAAAGCACTGGATTTTGATAAGTTTTAAGACTTATCAAAAAATTATGTTTTTACAGATATATGAGCACCTGTGCTTCTCTGTTACTCTTTTTAACATGGAAGTTTGTACTTCGAATTTCTACAGGGTGCTTTTTTTTAAGGACTATAAAATGATTAACAGGCACCAACAAAGAAAACTTCATACCATAGCTGGAAGAGAAGCAAAATTTTCTGCTTCAGTAGCTATCTTTCCCTCTCTCCAGGCCAGTTTGGACTTCAGATCATCAGTTCCAGAGCCAGGATTGAATGCCAGGCATCCTTCCCTGCACTCTAACAAATATTAAACATTTGCTCTAGCCATATTTGATGCCTCAGAGGGATTGATGCTCTACCACAGCAGAGAGAATCATTTCCTCTATTGTTCAGCCTACAGATATGACAGTTCAAAGCACACTACTTTGTGCTTCTTCAGATTTTCCTGTGTTTGTTCAGTAGAGAATTGCTACTCACTGACAACCTCTGTTCAATAACATAAAATATCTGTGATGCAGCTGGAGTGATATCTGTTGATGTATCGACATGCACAAGCCATGAAATACTTCAAAAGAAATTGTAAAAACTACTTCTGATTCCAAATAATGACTATGCAAGACAGCGTTTGCTCTCAGACCATTGGTTTAAGATTCATCAGACGTGCGGTGCTCTCTAGGATGCACATGAAGGCTGGATTTCTCAGAAGTGATTAGAGTGCACACCTGCTCCTGATGTGACTCTTGCAGTCAAATTTTCAGATGACTCATTTAGCAAACTTATGTGCTTTGAAAGTCCAACCCTAGATATGGAAGATAAATTGATTTTAAGCTTCCACTCTTTTTTATAAAAAGTAAAAGTCAAAGGTCAACTGCAAATTGCTTTTCCCTAAAAAGAAAGAAAATTCTTCACTTTTGAAGAGATGGTCCATTAAGCACCTGTGAACTTTCCCTCACATGCACATCCAAATTACAATAGGATAGAGAGATGTTTAAACTCATGAGTTTTCCAAAGTATAATTCTGCTCCTGATTATTGTGCATTTTAAAAATTTTGTGTAGGAGAAAATTACCAAAACCAGAAAAATAAAATCATGAAAAAATTGCCTAGGTTTGCACATGAAAAATCCCCCACATTAATTAAAAGCAAATGTCTAAAAAAATAGGTCTAAAATGCATCCAGTCTACAAATGAATGCTCATGCATCTTTATTTCTTTAATCTTTATTTCTTTAGACCTTAACATGATTTTCTTTTCAGCTGACAGTTTCTTTCATCTACCCTGTCGTAAGTGTAGAGGTTATCCTCTGGTGGTTGTTTTGGTGCTGGCAAAGAACTAAACAATGTTATCAGCAGTGCAAGTATGAGTCAGCTGTGGCGATGCTCCTGCTATTTGGAGTTTTGCATAAGGAAATACCGCTGATTTATTTCTCAAGGGTCATCAAACATAGAGTCTGCAAGCAATAATAACTTTCTCATAGCTCTCCATTCCTGAAGCAGTGCAGAAAAAGAAAGCAACAGTATTACAGATCCATTGTTCATTTCTTTCTTGGATTGCTTTATAGAGTAAAATCTTTTTTCTACCATGTTTACCAAACTATTCTTCCCCAATCAACAGAGTTGTGTCTTCAGTCTAATCAGATCAGAATGGATATAAGTTATGTTATGTTATGTTATATGTTATAAGTTATAAGTTACGATATTTTAATTTTAAAAATAAAAATACTCCTAGACAGGCACATTTATACTAGCAATGTAAAAATTTATTTTTACAAGACTCCTACATTCTTGTTTGCATCTCACAGTAGAAATGAACAAAAAGAAAATTTTATCTACTACTAAGACTTAGAAAACTGTTGAAGGCAAATCCATTCCACTCAAATGTAGTTTTGTTTGGGATCTGGCTAGAAGATCATTCATCACTTTGCAACTATATTTGCAGAACTCGTGAACTTCTTAACCGAAGAACAAAATCTACATTATGCGATCCTGAGCATTCTGATATCCATGTTTAAGAAATATAAACACAGCATTATTCAAATTTATTTCACTTTGACTAAACTCCTTTTTTAAGAAAAATACACTGAAATTTAATTGTTCTTTTAAAGAACTCAAGAGGCACTGTAGCAAAAAAACCCTGATCAACTGTTTCAATTTTAAGAGTACACAGTAAAACCATTAGAAGATAAAGCTATGTGTCTTTATAATGCATAGTAATAAATTAATTAAATTACCCAGAAAAAATAACAACAGCTACTTCATAGATAAATACAGAAACTTGAAAATATAAAGGATAAAGTACTTCAACCTAAAATAAAATAAACAGTAAGAGGCAGTGAAATGTTGTCTTAGCCTCAAAAGCCTTATGTTACTCATTTATTTTGTACTGAGTCCATTTATTTTTCTCTCATGCTCTTCCCTCAATGCACTCAGTGCATACTAAACAGTATAACATGAAATGTATCATGCTGCATTTAAACTTGATGGTGCCTAAGCTTACCTCTGATTTTTAGAGACAAGGGTTATATTCAGTTTGGGAAAATTCTCTCTCTATTCCCTCTCCTCCCATTAGCATCTAAAATGTCATTTGTGAGTTGGCTTTCCCCCCAGTTTATTGACCATTCTCATGGTAAAAGGAAGAAAGCTGAAAGATAATTAGATTTTGAGTCTGGGTGAGTAATTTAAAGAGCTTTACAAGTCTGACTCCAGGATATATTTTATGTCACCCTCAGCTTTGTTCATTCAGTATAAAAGGCTACATGTTACAAAACAGGATGGTTTAACTTCACAGAGCTATGGAAGGGCAAGGGGGTGACATACTCAGAGTTTAATTATGTCAGCCTTAATTTGAGTTCCATCATAATAAGTAAGTGTAACTCAACATGTTTAAAGTAAAAAAACCTGATCCTTCAGTAAGAAAAAGCAATGAATTGCTTAAAAAAGATGCTAGCTAAATGAAACCAATAGTAATAAAACCATTTATACCAGGAAATGTCCACTTCAACAAAAAAACACAAACCAAGGTAAAACAAAACAAAGGGCCTCATCTTGTCAAAACATCATGTGAAAAGGACACATTTCCAGTTTTGTCACAAATAAAGTAACAATTCAGACCAAAAACACCCAAACTTTTTTATAAAATGTTAGTTACCATGAAACCCTGCGAGTTAGTATATCTTCTTTGCACCTGCAACAAATAGAAAACAAAATAGTAGGAAATCAACAATTTTGGCATAGAAAATGGTTACCCAGAAAAGCAGTGTTTTTCTGAGAAACATGGTGTTGTGTGCAAAAAGTTCCTGCTGATCTAAATTTGACCATGGCATGCAGACACCGTATTGTCAGGTAGTGAGTCTGCTTGAGGAAGCTGCAAACTACTAAATCCCCCTCAATCCCTTTTTCCTTTTTTCACATTCCTCAAAGCTTTCATTTTTTTCTATACTTATTAACTGCTATGAGGTCTTCAGTCTTCTCTTAGTAATTCTTCAAAACTTGTAATTCTCTCTACACCCTCCAGACCTTCCATGTCATTCTTATCTTCCCAGTTCTCTCAGGTCTTCCACTAACAAAAAAGCATGATTCATCTCTTTAAAGTTTGGCTATGCAAAAATTCAGCTGTCTAAATCAGTCACCCTTGAGTCACTCTGTAGAAACAGACAGATCCAAAAGATGACATGTCTGCTCTTAAGACAGCCAGCTTATTTTGATGTTAATTAACTTCTAAACAGATAAAATCAGGCAAGATGGATACTACTGACCAGGCCTATATTTTACCAGATGCAGCCCTTCATTCTTTTTGCATGCCGTATTTGAATTCCAATTAAAAATTGGCACTATAAACCCACTATAGGAGAAGTTAGATGCAGAAATATTTACTTCATTTACTTGGAGTACTTTTATGATGCACTTTTATGATGCACTTTTTTTGTATAAATAGCTCAAATTGCCTTGTTTTACTTTGATATTGGATTACATTCATGTCTAATTTGCTGTCCTCTGTCTTCCCTAAGGTCTCTTTTAGCTTTACCCTCTTTCTATCCCATTTAATATATGTTTTCCAGTTTATTTTCTTCATCATGTTTTAATTCTCATTTCTGCCATCTGAAACTCCTTTTACTGTATTGGAGCCCTTAGGCCTTTTTTTCCTTTTCTTTCTTATATCCCTTACAATATAGTTCATGTCCTTGAAAATACATTAAAAGAATTATATATCTTGATCTTCTGTCCACACTAGATTTTCCCCTAATCAAGACATTATATACGTTTGGCAAACTACTCAAATGCTGTTGTTGGAAAGTGAAGCTTTTGATGGAAATGGTGATCAAAACCTCTTTAACTGAAATTCATCACATATATCACAGGCAAGCAGAGTTGGGCAAAACATTTCTGAACAGTTCTAATTCCAATTTATTTTTCAGCAGCAGACTGGTTTATTTGCTGTAATATGCTAAAATTTCTATGGACAGCTGGAATGTGGGTTTAGACAGCCTTTGCACTGTAAAGTTCATTTCTGCAATGGGGAATAGGAGAAGTAATTTTCCTCACCCTGAAGAATGAAGTCTTAAGCCAAAATAGTGAAGAAGGTCAGATTTGAGGAAACGTAGTGGGGGGAAAAGCAGAGTTCATGGTAGCAAAGTCTGTTGGTCAAGACTATACATTGTCTTTGCCTGTCGTGTTAGAGTTCTTTGACAAATCTGAAGAAAAAGAGGTAAGAATTATTTCCTATTGCATTCACAATTCCATGGTGTTTAATGGGAGAACACTATGAAAAACATCAGGAACACTATGAATTGTAATTTCATCATGGTATCACCACACACTTGCAATACATAACACACAGATATGAGAACTGGAAATTATAGTATAACAATTGGCAGTGTTGCTGATTAGCTGCGGACCTCAGGTGAACAGACAGTGGGTAGCATTTAACACACTGCCTACAGTATTTCACAAAAGGGTGAGAACTGACTTTATGAGAAAGGTATTTGTTGGTTTTCTAAATTTGAAGTTCAAAACATTGCTAAAGACAGGTGTCATAAGCAAGTACTATGTAATTTTGTCCTTTTAGTTTTGTCATTAGACTTCATGGGATCCTTGTTCTTAGGAGCAATGGCTTAACCACAAAGAAATACTGAAATGCCTCTTTTCTCCACTCTTGCATCAGAATCGAAGGTAAAGCTTCCATTTCAGATGTCTCCTTTCACCTATATAATTGTATAGTAAGGTGGGGAGTACCAATGTGAAGAACGATGGAGATGAACATGAAGCAAAAAGTCTGAAAGAAGATGGTTACAGAATTATAAAATTAAGGAATTCAAATTACTTGTTATCTTCCTCTCTTAAGAATAACTTTTATTTTCTTAAGAAATGGAATTTAAAGATTCTAATTAAAATAAGTAAGATGATTACAGTATTTGAGAACAAAGAATGGGAGAAATTAGGCACAGAGTTCATTTTCTCAAATTTCAGGCAGCCATGCCACAGCTCTCTCGGTTGAGAGGAGTCTGAAAACATCTATACCAAGTAATAAAGGATAAAAAGTCTTCCCAACACTCCATCAGAAAGCCAGGCCTGAACCGTGCCCTAGGTAAAAGCAGGAAGAGTCTTGTTAATACCACAGGCCCCTGTGCTTTGGTTGCTAAATAAAACTCAGAGAGAGTGCTAAGATAGACACAGACTGTAAGACTGCTGTTAATTTAAATTCAGGAAAGAATTTTCTCCTGAGCTCATACCTGGCAGCTGGTTTTACACAGACTGAGTGATCAGGGCAGCAACCAGACATCTAATGCCATTAAAGGTACAATTTCACCCCATCTATGTCCATTTGCTCACCTCCACGGCTTCAGAGGACAGTGAACGCAGACCCTAGAGGCCAAATACAGATAACAATAGGAAACTGATAGCTTTTTTCTAACCAGTGCTGAAGAGAAACTCAGCAACATGGACATGATTATATGATTTTCTGGTAATAGCATTTCTAAAGGACCTCTTTGGGAATACTGGTACGCCATGTATCTGAAAACTGTCACTGCAAACTTGTGCCCTGGGACAAAATGAATTCCTAGGATCCTATGGCAAATCTCACTCTAAGACATGTCCTATTTAATTATGTGATCCCTTTCCAAAGCATATCACATTACTTACAAAACAGTTTAAATTACTCAGTTCCCTCCCTCTTTTGTCAGACAGTTCCATAAACATGCTTCTTGGACGGATAAGGAGCCTTTTTCCAATTTCCTCTCTAAATTTATTCATGGGTAATTTATAATCATTTGATCTTTTGCCAATACCATCCTTTAACTTAAATAATAATTCTCCTTCCTTAATATTTACCTCTGTAGCATGTCATTCATTCATTTAATTCACTTAGTTGAAAATAATCTTAATAAATGGGAAAATGTTGTAGCTATAAAATTAAAATGCACTATGATGACCTTTACTAAAGTCTGGCACTAACCTGATTTTATTAAGCATCAGAAACATTATAATAGACATTAATGTAGTGGTATTCCCACATTATGCAAATCTATCTGGACTCATTTAAATTCTTTTTGTCTTTACTCTTTCACCTTTTTCTACACAGTTGAGTTTCACAAATTAAGAAGTTTCAATATTAAGCCTAGATTTTTAGAAAAGAATTTGCATATTTGTGTCTGCAAATAAAGATGAGAAAATATATGTTCAGAAAATTCAATGGCTTACGCAACTGATCAGCTATTTCTGCAGTGTGTCTTTCAGGTAATAATTATCACAGTTGTCTGTACAAATTAGTTACTTTGAAGTACACACATTTTGCACCTGCTCAGAAGAGAAATTGAAATGTGGACCATGCAATTAATAAGTCTGCCCAAATCTGCCAATGCTATTAATGTGTTCGATAGACTAAATACTCATCAGCAAACTACTGACTTTCTGCTTTTTGCTTTCCTGTGGTTACTACGCCTGCACTGAAGAATTTTGCATTACCTGTAGAGCGAGTTGAGTGTATCATATGTCTGACTTGTGCTTTTTTTATATAAGAGTGCTGTTAAGTTTGCCTATAATCATCATGGCCAGTCTTCGCGAATGAAGATCCGGGAAAGGTCTCCACCCACATTCGTTACAAGCGCGCTGGTGATACAGGGCTTTGCAAATGCGGGTAAGGCCTTTGAGCCTGTGCAATGGATTTTTTAGGTGAGACACAGTGTGCGCTGAACTGAGCCCACCCTTTAATCCTAAGGTTCATCTGCCTGGGCCAAGCGAGCTTGGACGGTGGTAGCGAGGTCCTCAGGACGTAGGTTTGTTTAGAGTGACCTTCTCTTAGATGGATGGCCTTACAGGGCTGACGAGCTCCATCTGCCCGGGTTTAGAGTTGTCCTTCTCTTCTGTTTGTTCTGGGGCTCCCCTCTCATCTCCCATGATGGCACTGTCCTCACAGGTGAAGCTCCCATTTTCTCGCTCCTTTCTGCACCCGGGGCCGGGCTGCGCCCGTTTGCCTATAATAATATATAGGAATAATACCAGTAAAATTGTTTGGTGAAAAGACTTATTCCTTTGATTCAGAAAGCCAGATTTTATGACATTATGAACTGATGAAAAAGATCAGGATTTTCTTACAAATGTCATGTCCTTAAGGCCATTGTTTGATCTGGAGTCAAAACAGAAATATGTATTGCCAAGAAATTCTGACCACATCACAGCCTTTGATTGTAGTATTGTTCTTTGTACTGAGAGCAGAAGGATATGTATATTAAGACAACAAAACCCATTTACCAACATACATGACCTCTAGGATGTCTTCACAGAGTCACACCATGATTGAGGTTGGAAAGGACCTCTATTGGTCACCTGGTCCAACCCCCCACTCAAGCAGGATCACCTAAAGCAGGTTGCCCAGGGCCAAGTCCAGACAGTTTTTTAATGTCTCCAAGGGTGGAGATTCCACAGCATGCTTGGTCATACTCACAGTAAAAAAATGTTTCCTGCTTTCACTTTGTGTCCATTGCTTGTTGTCCCGACATCAACTTGGGACAGAGCATCCTCACTGCAGCCTTGTGATCTATAGCAGGCATGAGGAAGAGACATCTGTGACTCTTTTGACTGCTGGTAAAAGGGATGCTCTTCCCCATATGCAAGTTTCCAACTTTCGCCATAAGCATGTTTCTGCAAGCTACATGTGTGAGGTTGAATATTACACTGTGCTACCCCACAGTGTTGCTGACCACATGTCCTTGGAGCTGTACTGAGTTATATTTATTGTATCTAGCAGGTAATTTCTTCCTAGACTGTAAGCAGTACAGAAAATTAGACCTTGCCACCTTTTAGTGACAGAAAATATTCATGAAGGAAAAAAAAGATGTGTTTTCAAACTGAAGAGTTTAATATAAAGGACAAAATATTAAACCCTGTGATCCTCTAGCAAAGAAAATATCACTATCATATTCCAAGTGGTGAAATTTTTAGGTATATAACATCATAAGTGTAAGTAAATTGCTCTGGCACTCAGATGAGTTTTCTTCTTTTACATCCTATAGTTTCTCTTTGATAATAGAGGAGTGCATAACTTGCACTTCAGTGCAGGGATTGCCCATGTAGTCCTGTACTTCCACCCAATCTTTTTATGGACGCCCTAAGCTATTATTGTTAGCCTACTGAAACATGATATTTTCACCTATTAAACATCAAATTGCAACCTCACAACCATAAATAGGTTTCAATAATCAACTTGGGTTCATAAATGAAACTATTTATAAAGAGACTATTTATAAGTAAATCTGTATTCCTTTATTTAGATGAAAAAGTACTATGTGAATTAATAAAAATTACTAATAAATCTGTATTCCTTTATTTAGATGAAAAAGTACTATGCGAATTAATAAAAATTACTAATTTCCACAAAACCTTTAGGCTGTTAAATCCTTCATTCCCATAACGGTAAGCATTCTGAACTTCAGAAAAGCTACATCATGGCTTAGTTACTCATGGCTTTTCCTCAGTCACAAGCAAACAATCAACTCACAGCCCTGAAATTTGTGCAATGTATTATAGCTGCTGTGCATAGACATTCATTCATCCACATTTGGCAAAATGTGCAAAGCACTGTACAGTATGTTAAAAATTATCTGTATTGACTTCCCCTCATTGCTCAAGCCATGAGGCATTCAAGATTTCCAAGATTTCTTGTGAAACAGTGTTGTACTTGAAGCTTTACCATCCTACAGGGATTTTACAGTCATTTGTCTGCATTTACAGCATTATCACTTCTGCACATAAAAATATTGTCCTTAGCTGCCCTGAGAAATAAATATTTAACTGATGAGATTTGCAGTATAACTCTTTATCCTGTGGAATTCTAAAGTGATGTATTTCTGTGCATTCTGTGTAACATCATGAATCAGCTTTATTTGGACACAAAATGTCATTGTGGCTTCCTGTGTTTTCCTTGAAGCACGGTAATTCTCAACTTTTTTCAATAATCATTATGTCCTTTCTGAAATTTCTTATTTTCTAACTTCTCAGGCTCAGGTTCTTACTTGTTAGGTGGGAAATGCGAGCTATTTTTAACCTGTGACACCATCCGTGGAGGAACCCTTGCCCCAGTCTGAGAGCTACTCTCTGAATATCTCAGGGCACGTTCCCAGTAATCATTTGTGTAATTGCTCCAGGAGACCATATTGTTTATAATTTTTCAAACAAAATGTCAGCTATAGTC